GTATGTTGGAAAGTGTTGGTCATTGGGGCCACCAATATAGTAGTCTACCACAGCCTCTGCTTGTCATGTGTCTCCCTGTCATAACTGGAATGACTTAAGAAGTAATACTGGGTGCTTTGTAAGCTAGCAAGAAAATATTAGTTGGGCCAATCGGTCTCTTCTTCTAGGATTTTGGAATTGGGACACTGGAAGGTCAGCTCATTTAGCTAGAAGGAGCTGAGTAAAAGGTCCTATAGACTCAGGAGCTGGGGCCATGATTTGGGGACCTGAGGAAGCTGACAAGGAAATAGAAGAAGTAGATCCACAGAGACAGAATAATGGAATCAACTTACATAGAAAAACAGAGATGAGAGAGAGAGATCATATTGGCTCTGAGAGCTGTCGAGAGCAGCCTTATTCCTAACTTTCCAATTCACAAGAAGCCTAGTAGAATGTATTTCTCACCTTTTTTGTGCCCTTCAAAGTATCGATTGCATTCCCACAATAAAGCACCCTTTATTTGGAAAAGAAAAACAAGGGTGGCTAAAGCCAAATAAATAATGGGCATTTAACTGCTTCCCAAAAGGATTTGGACTTTATTCACCAATGAGGGTTTTGAGAACATGAGTTTTATGATCCATTCAAGGTTTTAGAAAATAATTCTGGTGTCATCATAAAAGAATTAGAGAAATGAAAGACCATTCAACAAATGTTTATTGAGTACCTCCTGTGTACCAAGTACTAGGGATAAAATAGTGAACCATGTAGGCACAATTACTACCTTCATGGAGTTTACATTCTAGCTGGGAGGAGGAGGAAGTGGTAGGAAAAGTACATAGTAAACAAATGCACAAAGAACCAAGATGATTACCAAAAGCGATAGTGGCTATGAGGAAAATTAAGCAGAGCCTGGTTGGGTGGCATGTGCCTGTAGTCCCAGTTACTTGAGAGGAGGATCCCTTGAGCCCAGGAGTTCAAGGCCAACCTGGGCAACACAGTGGATAGTGAGACCCCATCTCTTAAAATAACAAAATAACCCAACAGTTAAGCAGGATGATGTAAGAGAGGTGGAGGTAGAATTAAAGGCTACTTTAAATAGGCTAGTAAGGAAATCTCTCTGAGGAGGAAACATTTGAGCTGAATGCCAAAAAGGAGCCAGTTATTCAAAGATCTTGGAAAGACATTCCAGGCAAAGGAATAGCAAATGTAAAAGCTGTGAGATGGCTTCATGTGTGATGAGTTCAAGGAACAGAAAAAGACCAATATAGATAGAGGTGTAGTAGTTAAATGGCAGACTACCTAATCAAACAAGTTTTCTTTTTCTTTGAGATAGAGTTTCACTCTGTTGTTCTGGGTAGAGTGCCGTGGCATCAGCCTAGCTCACAGCAACTTCAAACTCCTGGGCTCAAGTGATCCTCCTGCCTCAGCCTCCCGAGTAGCTGGGACTACAGGCATGGGCTACCATGCCCGGCTAATTTTTCTATTTTTAGTAGAGATGGGGTCTTGCTCTTGTTCAAGCTGGTCTCGAACTCCTGACCTCAAGCAATCTTCCCACCTCGGCCTCTCAGAGTGCTAGGATTATGGGCATGAGCTACCACTCTGCCCAAACAAGTTTTCTATGTTGAGGAGTTTTAGATTTTATCCAAATAGCAATGGAAAGCCTTTGAGGTTTTTAGGGTTTTTAGGTGAGGAGATAAAGCTGATCAGATTTATGTAATAAAAAGATCACTCTGGCTGATATTTGGAGAATGGTTTGGAGGGCAAGCATGAACCACTTAGGAAACTATTGCTATAGATCAAGTAGAAGATGATTGTGGACTGGACTAATGTGTAGTATAGGAGGTGAGGAGAAGTGAAATTATATTATGAATTGGAAGTAGAGTTGATAAATCTTTCAGATAATTTCAAAGTAGGGGATGAGGGAAATCAAGGTTTTGGCTTAAGCAGTACACTTACAGGGAAGGAGAAGATTGAAGAAGGAACAAGTTTGGATTGTGAGTATAAATCTAGAGTTCTTCTTTGAACATGAAAAGATTGAGATATTGTTGGATATCCAAGTAAAATATCAGATAGGCAGCTGGATATACAAGCCTGGGGCTCAGGGAAAGGTCAGGGCCAGACATATATATTTGGCAGTCATCAGCATATAGATTGAATTGAAAGCCATGGGAATTGACAAGATCATTCTGGGAGAGTGTATAGATAGAAAAGAAAAGGGAGCTCAGAGCCTCCAACATTTAGAGGCCAGGCAAAGAAAGAGGAACTGTCACCAAAAGAGACAAAGATGGAGTGGCCAGTGTCATGAAAGGCAAGAGAAGGAAATATTTAAGAAGCAGGGTGTGGTTAACTGTGTCAAACACTGCTTAATGGTCAAGTAAGATGAACATAAACAGAGGGGTTTGCTCTGTGGAAGATATTGGTAATCTTGACAGCAGCAATTTCAATAGAGTGGAGGGAATAGAAACCCAATTACAATGTTTCAATAGGGCAGAATGATGAGGGGAAATTGGGCAGTAGTAATGGCAACATAAAGAAATGCACAGGCAGGGTGCGGTGGCTCATGCCTGTAATCCTAGCACTCTGGGAGGCTGAGGCAGGCAGATCGTTTGAGCTCAGGTGTTCAAGACCAGCCTGAGTAAGAGCAAGTCCCCGTCTCTACCAAAAATAGAAAAGATTAGCTGGGCATGGTGGCGCATGCCTGTAGTCCCAGCTACTTGGGAGGCTGAGGCAGAAGGATCGCTTGAGCCCAGGAGTTTGAGGTTGCTGTGAGGTAGGCTGATGCCACAGCACTCTAGCCAGGGCAATAGAGTGAGACTCTGTCTAAAAAAGAAATGCACAGACATTAGAACGATACTGATGAGGGGCAGGATATGGGGAGAGAAAGAGGTGGTCATAGGGGTTTTGCAGGTAATAAAGAGAGTAGGCCAGGCGTGTAATCCTAGCACTCTGGGAGGCCAAGGCGGGCAGATTGCTCAAGGTCAGGAGTTAGAAACCAGCCTGAGTGAGACCCTGTCTCTACCAAAAATAGAAAGAAATTAATCAACCAACTAAAAATATATATACAAAAAATTATCCAGGCATGGTGGCACATGCCTGTAGTCCTTGGGGGCTGAGGCAGTAGAATCGCTTGAGCCCAGGAGATTGAGGTTGCTGTGAGCTAGGCTGATGCCATGGCACTCACTCTAGCTTGGGCAACAAAGTGAGACTCTGTCTCAAAAAAAAAAAAAAAAAAAAAAAAAAAAAAAAAAAAGGAGAGTAGTTGTGCCACCAAGAATGGAAAAAGGAGTACATAGAAAGGAAAATAATGATTTTCATGGTTGGACAAATTGACTTTAATATGCTGTCAGTTCATTCATGTGACAAAATTAAGCAGTTAGAAATGTAGGATTGAAGCTTGATGATTTCCAAATATATATGTCCAGCCTAGGTGTTCAGAATGGTCTGGGTTGCACATACAGATTTGAGAAACACCAGCATAAACATCGTGTTGCTTGCCAGGTACCGTAGCTCAGCCTATAATTCCAGAGACTCAGGAGGTTGAGATGGGAGGATCACTTGAGGCCAGGAGTTGGAGAAAAGTCTGGGCAACATAGTAAGACCCTATCTCTTAAAAAATAGAAAAAATTAGCCAGGTGCAGTGGTATATGCCTGTAATCCAAACTACTCAGGAGTCTGAGGCAAGAGTATCACTTGAACCCAGGAATTTGTGGCTACAGTGAATGGTGAAGGCACCACTGCACTCCAGCTTGGACAACAGAGATCTGTCTCTAAGAAAAAAAAGAAGTTGTGTTGGTTGACCATGAGTGTAAGTAAGAACTCCAATCAATGTGGAATAAAAGGAAATAAACTCAAAGACAGACCTTGGAGAACACTTTTTTTTTTTTTTTTTTGAGACAGAGTCTCACTTTGCTGTGCAGGCTAGAGTGAGTGCCGTGGTGTCAGCCTGGCTCACAGCAGCCTCAAACTCCTGGGCTTAAACAATCCTGCTGCCTCAGCCTCCTGAGTAGCTGGGACTACAGGCATGCGCCACCATACCCGGCTAATTTTCTCTATATATATTAGTTGGCCAATTAATTTCTTTCTATTTATAGTAGAGACGGGGTCTCCCTCTTACTCAGGTTGGTTTCAAACTCCTGAGCTCAAACGATCCACCCGCCTCAGCCTCCCAGAGAGCTAGGATTACAGGCATGAGCCACTACTCCCAGCCTTGGAGAACACTGGTATTGAAAGGATGGTCAAACAAAGAAAGCCAGCAAAGAAAACTAAGGAAGAATTATAAGAGAGTTATGTCATGGAAGCCAAGAGAAATAGGATTTTCAAGAAGGAAAAAGTGGTCAACAATGCTGTCCTAGTCCGTTTTGTGCTGCTATAACAGAATACCACAGAATGGGTAATTTACAATGTTTACAATGAACAGAAACTTATTAGCTCATGGTTCTGGAGGCTGGGAAGTCCAAGATCAAGGAGTAGGTATCAGTGAGGGCCTTCTTGTTGCATCATCCCATGGCAGGAGGGCAAAGAGACGGTAGGGAGACTGAGAGCTGAACTCATCATTTTTATTTGGGGGGGACAGGGTCTTGGGCTAAAGTGCAGTTGTGTTATCATAGCTCACTGCAACCTCAGATTCTTGGGCTCACGTGATCCTCCTGCCTCAGCTTCCAAGTAGCTGGAACTACTCCACTGTGCTCCACTGTGCCTGTGCTTAGCTAATTTTTTAAAAAATTATTTGTAGAATCAGGGTCTTCTATTGCCCAGCTTAATCTTGAACTCCTGGCATCAAGAGATCCTGTCACCTCCACCTCCCAATGTGCTAGGATGACCCAAACACCTCCCATTAGGCCCCACCTTCCAACGCAAGTGCATTGGGAATTAAATTTCTAACAGATGAACTTTGGGGGACACATTCAAACCATAGCAAATGCCAAGTACTACAGAGAGCTCAAGTATACCAAATATAGAGAAGTAATTGGTAGCATTGACACTTAGAAGGCCACAATGACATGGGCTTCTTGTGTCCACAGGCCTCTCCAACGTCAACCAGACTCGTCTTGATTTTCACTTCTCTGATACAACTGCTGGTGGCATGGAGGTCCAGCAGGCCAGCCTCATGTTCTTTGTGCAGCTTCCTCTCAATACTACCTGGACTTTGAAAGTGAGGGTCCTTGTGCTAGGCCTACATGGCACCAATCTCACCTTGGCTAATCAGCACTTACTGGAGGTGGATGCCAGTGGCTGGCACCAGCTCCTCCTTGGGCCTGAAGCTCAGGCTGCCTACAGCCAGGGGCATCTGACCCTGGAGCTGGTACCTGAAGGCCAGGTAGCCCAGAGCCCAGTCATCCTGGCTGGGGCTGCCCATAGGCCTTTTGTAACAGTCCAGGTGAGAGTTGGAGGCAAGCACCGGGTTCGCCGACGAGGCATCGACTGCCAGGGAGGGTCCAGGATGTGCTGTCGACAAGAGTTCTTTGTGGACTTCCGTGAGATTGGCTGGCATGACTGGATTATCCAGCCTGAGGGCTACGCAATGAACTTCTGCACAGGGCAGTGCCCACTCCATGTGGCAGGCATGCCTGGTATTGCTGCCTCCTTTCATACCTCAGTGCTCAATCTGCTCAAGGCCAACACAGCTGCAGGCACCGCTGGAGGGGGCTCATGCTGTGTGCCCACAGCCCGGCGCCCCCTGTCTCTGCTCTACTATGACAGGGACAGCAACATTGTCAAGACCGACATACCTGACATGGTGGTAGATGCCTGTGGGTGCAGTTAGTCTACATGTGGTCCAGGCACCCCAAGGTGGTCAAACACCCTCACAGAAGTGCCCTTTTTTGAGGGAATGACACCATTTTCTGTCCAGAACGTAGATTCCCTCTTCCTGAGCAATCTATAGAAATGATCCCACCTTTGACTTGATGAGAAGTTCATTTAAGGAGAGTCACTGTACCATCTTCACAACCACTAGCATCTCTCCTAGGGCACAGTCCATCCAGCTAGCTCCACCTACTTGATCCCCACTCCAGGGACTCAGACCCACCTCTCATCCTGAGCAGTGCCACCTGGTTCCCAGGCAAAACACCATTAGTTCACTCTTAATTGACTCCATAATCCACCATGCCTCCCTGCTTTTTCCACACAATGGTCCCCACTCTAGGATGATTTGACCCAGCTCCTTCCCCTGATTTTCTGGATCTCCAGAGAGCCCCTTCCTTGGATTCACCAAAGATAGATCACTGCTCTCCAAAGTGAGGCTTACCCTGCTCTGAGTCATGAGCCCCTTTCCTTCTTACTTGCCCAGGTGGGCTAAAAATGCTCTCTTTGCATACTGTCATCCACTTTTTGTCCTTCTCTTCCTTGCTCTATGTCTTTAGGGGCTGAAGCACCTGAGCTACATCACCTGAGCTCCTCTGCCCTCTAGCTTCCTGCTGAGTTTGACCAAGGGAAGACACAGGTGGGAGACCAAAGGATAGGAGGAGACAGAGGTCAAGGCATTTCTTATTCCTGCTTCCTCTCTGCCTAGGTGCCATAGTTCTGTGTACCTGTGGCTGTGCTGTGTCCCTATAGCACCTGTCTGATTACCTCTTTCATGGCACCCTCTCTGCCTAGGTTCTGATATTATTGCTTCAACATCAGGGGGTCCAAATTACTTTCCACTTTGCCAGTCTCTAGGGGTTTCAACATCCCTTGTTGGTTTTCTTAACCCTTCCTACACCTCTGTGAATAATTTTTTCACTGTGTCCTCTTGATGAAGCAAACACAGGCAGCTGAGTGGGTCCTCTGTCTATGGCCAGGACCCTAACTGCCACCCCAGAAGACACAGAGCCTGCCTGCCCTGCCCATTCTGCTTTCTCTTAACAAGGATTCCTCAGGACTAGCTCTTGTATCTGTCTCACACTTCATGCCTCTTCCTCCCCCAGGCTGCCTCCTCTTCTTTCTTAAGCTCCCCCTTCATCTTTCCAGAACCATTTTTGAAGGTCTCATGGCTAATAAAGACCTAGATTTTACCTGCTCCTCTCCTCCCTCTGTACTCACTCCAAAATATGAGACAGATCAATGCTTAGTCATTAAGTAAGCCGACAATCTGTGGGCACACAAGTGGTGGGAAGCAGAGGCATGCTCAGAGCTGGCTACCAGCACCTCTGACTTGCCTGCCTTTCACCCGCCCCCAGGACTGCATCCAGGAGTCCTGTCTGGAAGCTGAAACTGGCAAGGGCTGCTTGAGTGGGCCAGGGAGAAGAGGAAACCCTGGGGTGAGGAGAGGGTGGCATTTGCTCTGAGAGGGATCTTCTTTAGACCTTTGCCCTTCTTCCACCACCATCTCCTCCCTTTGGCTGGACAGCCCTGAACGGTGGGTCGATATTGTCTGCAGCCCAAGGCTGAGTTTGCGTAAAACCCATGTGTCCTTTGGTGAACGTGATGTCTGTGTTTGCTCAGCTTATAACCCTCTCCTACCAGGGTAAGAGGTCCCTGATATAGGATCCCTAGGAGAGAAAGTCTGAAGGGACCTCCTGAGGGACTGCAAATCTGAGCTGGGTGGCTTCCTGAGCAACCCATGGAAGTTATCCTACCTTTGACTTGAGGAGACCTTCATCTAAAGAGAATCTAAAGAGGTCTTCTGTTGTCTCTCCCTCTCCCTTCTGCCATTGTCGCCCTCCCTCTCCCCCTTCCCCACCCCATCTAACTTCCTTCCCTGCAACTACAGCTTTAGTCACCAGGGCTAAGACTAGGGAAAGGTGAAGTGAGGCACTCACCTTAGGAGCAAAATTTTAAGGGGATGGCAAAAATATCATCAATCAAGATGAATAAGATTTAAATGCAGTATTTTTTAAAAATCAAAATGCAGAAAAATTCACAATGAACAAAATAGCATATTTTAAAATAAACATAGGATCAGTATTATTCCCTTTCTTTTTTGGCTCTGCTTTTTGTAAAAGGGGAAAGAGTGGGTCTGTCTTTTTCCAAATATTTTCTTCCAGAGCCTCCTAGCCCCTACCTCTAGACTCCTTCAGGCTTTTCTTATTTGGGCAAGATAACTACTCCCGCTTCTTCTACTTCCTTACCTACCCCAAACCTGTTGTTGCTACCCCTCCCCAGCCCCCAACCAGGTTGGTGGTAGGGCAGGCAGGGAGGCAGATGGCTGGGGTATTTATAACCTGGGAGCACTTCTTGGGAAAAGTGACTAAGATGCTAAGAGCATATTTATAGCCGAGCTCTGACGTAAGTGTCAGTGGGGAGGTAGGGCCAGGCCAGGCACAGCAGCAAGGGGTGGGAAGAGCTGGAAATTGGGGGCACCCAACCCACAGGGTGGGGAGAGATGGGGTCAGCGACTCCTGCAGCCACTTCTTGTTGCTTCCCCTGACTCTGTCTCCTGACACCAACAGGTAAGCCCTCTGGGGCACCACCATGGGCAGACAGCTCCACTTTGCAGTTCCAGACCCCAGCGGGTAAAGGGCTGTCACTCATCAGCACCCACCAACAGAGAGGGAGCTGGGGGCTGGGGAGAGCACTGGACAGAGGGCTTAAATATGTTACAAGGCCTGGGAGAAATGCAGGGTGGAGAGGAGGGTCTACGAGTCTCATTGTCCCTCTTCCCCTTGAGGTTCTAGGAAGAGCCTGGCACTGATCACCAAGCTCCATTGCCACATGTCATTGTGATGAGGTCCAAAACCATAGGTAGCAGTGAGGTGGGTCCTGATGACAACCTCTGCTCTCTGGCAGTGCTGTCGTGGAAAGGGCAGAGGATCCAGCTTCTCCTTGTCTCCTGTGGATGCAATAGGGTCCCCAGAGTGAGAGGTTGAGGAGTGCTCTGTTGCTCCACTGCCCAGAGCAGCCCCTTCCCTGTCCCTGGGAAGCTCCAGGCAGCTACCAGCCACCTGCTGTCCAGTGGCACAGCACTGCCACATGGTGGACACTGGTGGTACTGGGTCCCAGCCCTCAGTGCAACCCGTGTCCCCCTGGTGCCAGATCTCTTTGTCCCTCTTGACAGTGCCCCTCTTGACACCGCCCACTGGCTAAGTAGAGGGGAGATGAATAGAGAGGAGTAGGGACACATTTCCAAATCACACTCACTTCCCCCACAGCTTTCTCTCCCTCAAGCTTCTTGAAGAAACTGGGGTATAAAGAGAAAAGCTAGCATGAGGTCCACCTTCATGAGTTCAAGGTGGACTTGGCCCTTCCATTTAAAAATGTGAGAAAGTGTGGTAAGGAAGGCTAAGATTGGAGACTAAGGTTGCTGAACTCTCCTCAATTTCTTTTCAAAAGTCCTTAAACTTCCCATTTCCCATCCCCATTAACAGAAGTCTGGGCCTGAGCATGCATGTAATCAGCACTTTGGGAGGCTGGAATTGGGAGGATCATTTGAGGCCAGGAGTTTGAGACCAGATTGGGCAACATAGTGAGACTCTCATCTCTCCAAAAAAATAGAAAAATCAACTGGGTGTGGTGGCACATGCCTGTCTGTAGTCCCAACTACTCAAGAGGCTGAGGCAGGAGAATTGCTTGAGCCCAGGATTCAAGGCTGCAGTGAGCTATGATTGAGCCACTACATTCCAGGCACCTGGGCAACAGAGTGAGACCTTGTCCCTAAAATCAAAAACAAAAGCAGGTGTGGCACCGCTTCTAGAATGCCCCAAGTTTAGGCAACTGTCACAGTCCCTTGAAAAAGAAGCAGCAGCTGGGTACAGGCCTTCCCAAGTCACATGCGCTTCTGCCAGCCCTGATGGACTATGCCCTGCATAGGATTGCATCATCACTACCACCACCTCTCTGGGTTTCCCCAGACATCACGGTAACACGTTCCCTGCCCCCGCTTTCTCTGGCCCTCTTCCATGCTGTGCTTCAGTCCAACTGGACTCTGGGCAGCCAGCACAGCCAAGGTCAGGAAGTGACTTCCGTGCCTCGTGGCACTGCCACCTGGGCCTGAGCAAGAGGGCTCTGTTCTTTAACTGTGCCCCTCCCAACCCTAACCCCTGTCCCAGCCCCAATGCCAGAAATAAAGAGACCAGAATTCTCCTTCTGGCCAAGAGACCCTAGAGAAATAACCACTGGAACTCACAGCTGGCTCACGGCAACTGCTGCAGCAGTGGTCAAGTTAGAAAGACTGAAGGTATGGCGGAAAATTGCCCTTCCCCACCTGGCTCATATGGAGCTCCCTCCCCCAGTCCCAGACCTTGGGGACTGAGCATGTGAAATCATCCTCTTTCTTGCATCATGCATGTCCACATTGCTCCCCCCAACCCCCATACCCCTACCTCAAGCCCAGTCATCATGGCCAGATGGTGAAACCTGAGCTGGGGGGGGGACCTCCACCCCCTGCAAGGGCCTGATGAGCAGCACAGCTGGCCAATCCTGGGGCTCAGAGGGTAGGTCAGCAGGCTGACCATTAGGTTTGGGAGCCCCCAGCAGCTGGCTCTAAAGAGGCCCCAGGTCAATAGCCAGACATGAGCTGTGAGGGTCAAACACAGCAATCCATCAGATGATCTACTTTCAGCCTTCCTGAGTCCTAGGCAATAGAAGACAGGTGGCTCTAACCTTGGCCAAGGGTAGGTGTGGCACTGGTGTCTGCTGCCAGTGGGCCCTCATTGGCTCCCACGCAATCAGACTCAACAGACGGAGCAACTGCCATCTGAGGCTCCTGAGCCAGGGCAGTTCACCAGGAGCATGGGCCTCCCTGATGTCCAGCTCTCACTGGCACTGCTGTGGGCACTGGTGTGGGCACAGGGGACAGGATCTGTGTGTCCCTCCTGTGGGGGCCCCACACTGGCACCCCAAGCAGAGCGAGCTCTGGTGCTGGAGCTAGCCAAGCTGCAAATTCTGGAGGGGCTGCGCCTGACCAATCGTCCCAGAATAACTCATCCTCCACCCCAGGCGGTGCTGACCAGAGCCCTTCGGAGACTACAGCTGGGCAGTGTGGCTGCAGGGAATGGGGAGGAGGTCATCAGCTTTGCTGCCATCACAGGTGGGTGAGGGAGAGAGAGACAGGCAGAGAGCAGACAGGAAAGGTGGGGGCGGAAGGGGAGCCTGGCAGAAGGTGCAGAGGGAGAGGGGTGTGACAGGAGAAGGAGGAGTTGGGGCAGGGACTGGTTGCGGAGGACACAAGGCAGTCCCTGCTTTTTCTAAAGGTGGGTATGAGGGAGAGCAATGGGCAGGGCTTGGGGAAATCTCAGAGGAGAGCTTCATCTCTGCTCATATTTCTCTTTCCCTTCTCCATCTTTCTGGCAGACTCCTCTACTTCAACCTGCAGCTCCATGCTCACCTTCCACCTGTCCATTCCTGGGTCCCACCACCTGTACCACACCCGCCTCTGGCTGCACGTGCTGCCCACCCTTCGTGGCACTCTTTACTTGCGGATCTCCCGATGGGGCTCAAAGAGGAGGCGCCCAGGGTCCCGCACCCTCCTGGCTGAACACCAAATGACTACCCCCGGCTGGCACGCCCTGACTCTGCCCTCTAGTGGCTTGAGGGGTGAGGCGTCTGGTGTCTTGAAACTCCAGCTGGACTGCAGACTCTTAGAAGGCAACAGCACAGTTACTGAACAACCAAGGCAGCTCCTGGACACAGCCAGACACCAGCGGCCCTTCCTGGAGCTTAAGATCCGGGCCAAGGAGCCTGGAGCAGGCCGGGCCAGGAGGAGGACCCCCACCTGTGAGCCTGGGAACCCCTTATGTTGTAGGCGAGATCATTATGTAGACTTCCAGGAGCTGGGATGGCGCGACTGGATCCTGCAGCCTGAGGGGTACCAGCTGAATTACTGCAGTGGGCAGTGCCCCCCGCATTTGGCTGGCAGCCCGGGCATTGCTGCCTCTTTCCATTCTGCTGTCTTCAGCCTCCTCAAAGCCAATAATCCTTGGCCTGCCAGTACCTCCTGCTGTGTCCCCACTGCCCGAAGGCCTCTCTCTCTCCTCTACCTTGACCATAATGGCAATGTGGTCAAGACAGATGTGCCTGATATGGTGGTGGAGGCCTGTGGCTGCAGCTAGCAAGAGGACCTGGGGATTTAGAGGGAAGAGATCAAGTCGAGGGTTCCCAGGCAAAAGGCATCTGCGGCTGGAGGCATCAGATTCCTGATCCACACACCCACCCAACAGCCACCTGACAATATGACTGGGGTGTTCCCAAGGGACACAAATGGGCACTTTCTTGTTCCAGACACTGGCCTATTCTAGGCTAGTTGATGTGTGGGGAGAGGGGTAAAGTGTTTCCGCTAAAGGGGTCTACCCAGAAAGCATGGTTTCCTACCCTAAGTCCTGTGAGAAGATGACAGTGGGTAGTGAGGGAGGGAGGGAAGGAGAAGACAAAGAAAAATTACTTAGTCTCTTCCAAGAAGAGAAAGTCCTCAAGAGAGGAGAGGAGGAAGCAGGTTTGTGGCAAGCCATACAGGCTGGCCAAGGGTAAGGACTGTTGAAGTGCTTCAAGAGAGGGCCAAAGGGGGAAATGGGCAAGGTACTGGGGGAGGATGTTTGGGGCAGTCCCAGAAATGGAAGTCAAGAGAGAATGGTGCTAAGCCTAAAAACTTCCCTGGTTTTCCCTAGGGCACAGGATCCACTGGGGAGAGGAGCTTTATACTTTCTTAATAAAATGAGAAAGAAAATCAACAAGTGTGAGTTATGAAGAAGGATTGGGTGATGGTCCAGAGCAAAAGTTATCAGAATGTGGTCTGGGGACCTCTGGGAGGTCCCTGAGACCCTTTCAGGGGTGTCCACATAGCCAAAGCTGTTTTCATAATAATACTAAGATGTTATTTGCCTTTTTTTTTTTTAACTTTTTTACTTATCTGTATTTGTTACAAGTTATAAGGGGATTGTGACTTGGGCACTACGTAGTGCCCAAGCCTTGCTTTTCAAAATAGTTTTATAACACACATGGGTAGGGCTTATAATTTTGCTCCTCTAAACAATACTTCTTTGGAAAACAAGTCCTGTGTAGAGTTTCAAGTTGCTTTACTTTAAACATACATATTTCTAGAGTACATGCAGTTATTTGCCTTTTTAATTCTCATTATCTCAAAATTGTACAGTGGAGTTTTCCAGAGACTGTGCAGCTTCTGATTACATCATCTAACATCATCATTAATGGAATGTGTGCTTGTGTATTCTTGTGTCTTACAATGTTTTCAGTTTTAATTTCTAATATGGTGAATGGATAGATATAAATCACACAAACAGAAGCTCAATAAATTTTAAGAGTATATAGGGGTCTCAAAACCAAAAAAACTGAGAATCACTGATCTATAGAACTGAGTGTGGGGGGGGGAAGAAAACAGTATATTCTAAGAGACCTCTCTTGTTGGGGGCAGGTAGCCCCAGCTACTTGGGAGGCTGAGGATTCCTTCAGGACAGGAGTCCGAGGCTGCAGTGTGCTATGATCATACCTGTGAATAGCCACTGCACTTCAGCCTGGGCAACATATCGAGACGCCATCTCTAAAAATAAATATATAAATGAAAGACCTCCTCTGGAAGAAGGGGCACGAGGCTGGGACAGGAGCATGTGTGGGGTCCCTTCTTTTTCAGTGACCATTGGTCTTGCCTTACTGAGCTGGGTCCTGAACCTCTGGGTTAACTGGTCATAGTCCCAGACCTTCGCCTAACTTCACCTTTTCTCCCCCCACACACACAGTCTGAACTGTTAACCTTCTAGGCCCAAGGCGGTGGTCCTTGGAAGCAGAGCTAGGATGTGGGAGGTCTGTCTGAGGAGGTGACAGAAAGGGGAAAGGACTCCTTTCCCCCACCATGCTTTTTCCTTTCTCCTGAAAGTCAGAGAGACTGAAATAGCTGCCCCTCCTCCATATCAGGTCACCATAGCAACACAAATCTAAGGGGATAGGGAACAGCCCTGTCAGTTAGGCACGACCGCCAGGCACTAGCATCCTCTGCCTGTGCCTCTCGGTTTCTTTGGGCTCACACATCTCCTCCCTGGGCTCCTATCTGGGGTTTGGTGAGGGAACCAGTCAAAGCTCCTCCTTCAGCTACCCGTCCCTTCTGCCTCGACTCCAAGAGGGTGTCCTGTGCCAGAATGGCCAGCAGAGGGAGCAGAAAGCCTTGACGAGCGGAAAAAGAGCCTGCAGTGTAGGAGGTGCGGAGGTGGCCGCAGTCTTCACAACTTCGAGATGGAGAGCGGGGTTCTCGGGAAAGGTGCTTCAGATCCAGGGCTTCTTATGACCTTGTGAACACACACCCTGCACCCAGCCTCAGCCGCTGCTCCTCTCTTTTATGTATCATAGATCCCTCACCTTCTGCCAGAGCCCCCAAGCCCTCAACTTGATTTGCCCCAAACCCCCAGCTCTGTCCTAGCCCTTCCAAGTTCCATCCAAAGAACGAGACGAGCAGATAAACCACAGGATGGCAGAATGCTCAGTTAGTACCAAAGTCTACTACCCTACCTCCAACATTATCTTTCTCCTATGAACTTCTCCCACCCACTCACCCCCACCCCGCGATATTTTCCTCAATCTGTTTTTCTGGCTCTGGTTCAGGGTCTCTTTGGGGACAACCGATCCTGGGATCCATGCCGGGATTTACTGCTCACCACCAGCAGCGTGTACAGCGGGGGGGGGGTGGTAGGCAGTATAGGGTCCCTCAAGGGAGGGGGAGGATCCTGGGGGTCCTGGGGGTGCAATAAGCCCGGCACCCCCTGTCTTGCTTCCAGCTACCCCGCCTCATCCTCCAGAGCAGCGAGAGGGAGGGAAATAGGAGGGAGGTGAGGGGCGAGCGGGAAGAGCGGTGGCGCGCCAGCGGCTGGAGCGAGAAAAAGTTTTTGCAAAAGGAAAAAAAAAGTTTGCGCTTCTCGCGGGTGGTCCGGGCTTGCGGCCCGGCGGGCTGGGCCGGCGGGAGGGCTGGGGGCCAGGTTGGGGGGGTGGGGGTGGCATTGAGGCTGCGCTGCCGTGGCCCTGTCCGCCCCCCCTCCCCACCGCACACCCCCCAGCCCAGACTCCAGCCCTGGACCGCGCATCCCGAGCCCAGCGCCCAGACGGAGGTGAGAAGGGGGGCAGGCGGGGGACCACCTGGTAGCGATGGGGGAGGGGGCCTGAGGGGATGCTCTGCTTCCGAGGGACTCATCCCAGCCCCCGGGGCACAGAGGCAAAATGGGGATGGAAGAGCCTGGAGTGAGATAATAGAAAGTTTGGAGGATTTTTCATTTGTGTCTTTCTCTGTATCTTCTTTCTTTCTTGACAGTCTGTGTATCTCTGTCTCAGGCAACTGTGGGTCTCTTTGTCTCTTTCTGCCTCTCCCACATATTTGAAACATCTCACTTTCATGAGGTTGAGACGAAGAGGCTGGAAGGATGGCTAGCTGGAGGTTTGCGTGGTAGAGAGGGAACTCCAGGTGTGTCTCTGAGCGTGGGGCAGGAAGACGTCAGTGTTTCTGAAAGGAGGGGACCGCGAAGGAGGGCGCTCCAGGTGGGGTGGGGATGGGTGAGTGCGTGAGGCAACAGGACCACTGGGGACCAGCTGGGCTTGAAGCCCTGACCTGTCTTGCGACAGATATGCCCAGAGATGCTTATGTTTGGGGAAAAAAAAGTGTCTTCAGGACTAGGACGGGGTCTGGAGGGGCTGTCCAAGGTCTAGTCTAGGCCCTAGAACGACCCCAAGGAATTTTAGACTACTGAGTCGCAAAGGCTGTGGGCTGGGCGCTGAGGAGGAGCTGGGGAGACCTTGTCTTGACCCTCTGACCTCAGGACCACCAGGGCAGCTGGAGCCAGCAGCAGGGAGACCCCTACTGGGGCTAGGCGGGACCACTGGCCACTGCCAGCTTGTGTATCCCCATTGGCCCTCCGCCCAAACAGGAGCTGGGGACCGAGGCCCCTTCTTTGGCTCAGACCACCCTGCCTGCCCTTGCTCCCCGCTCTGAATCCTTTTTCAGGCCCCATGACCCCGAAACAATCAGCCCTGGGCAGCAAGCTTTGGGGACAGGATTAGGGAAAGGGGACCCGGTAGAGACTGACGACTGAGGGTTTTAGGGGGCTGAGAACTGGGGTCTTCATAGGATAGGCCTAAGTTCCGGTAGAGGGAGAAGGCGGGCAGTTTCCAAGGGGAGATGTTAGGGTCGGAATAAGGGTGGCTTTCCCTAGGGGGCGGGGTCCAGAGACCTCCCCCCCACCCTATTATCTCGCGGGCATCCCCGCCCGACGCCTCAGACCCCGCCCTTGACGTCACTAGGGGGTTCCCGGGGGTCTGAAGGGGTTAACCCTTGGGAAGCTGGCTGGGATACCCTGATCCTAAGGCTTCCTGGCCCCTCCTCCTCCTCATACACACCTTATTTTATTTATCCAGTCACTTTCTCTCCCTCATAGTTTACGGATTCTCCTTTTTTTCTCACCTCACCACGAGGACCCCCACCCTCTAATAGTGTCCCCCAGGGCTCCACTGCCCGCTTTCCGGATGCTCTGAGAGGAGGAGGCAAGAATGTGTCCCGCCCCCCCAACTCCGGCTCGCTCGACTGGGCTCCCGGGGCGGGCGGGGGAAGCGGAGCCGTCTGCAGCCAGAGCCTGCGGCGGCGACTTGGGTGGGCCGAGGAGGCACGGGGGCGGGGAAGGCGGGACTGGGAGAAGGGGGGCGGAGCCGACTCCTGGGAGTTGGGGAGGGGGGGGTGCGAGGGGGACTCAGCAAAACTGGGAGACACCAATGATAATTCAGTCCTCCCGCAGGGAAACCTTAGAGCTCCTTGTTCCATCCCGCACTCTCATCCACACCCCAGAAAAACTTTACTGAAGCTGGGAAAGTTGGTGACATTTTTCGTTTACTAGTGTGAAGGGGAGACATGGGTGGGCTGTGGCACGCGTGGGCGAGGAAGGATGTTGCCCCATTTCCATCGAGGCTCGTTGACGGCCGGGCTGTGGGGTAGGCTGATGAGTAGGCAAATTTGGGGGAGCCTCTAGTGTTTGGGGGGTCGTATGCAAGCCCTCCTCCTTCCCCTGGGTGAGTCATAGAGGAAGGAGGAGGGAGAAGTGTCCCCCCCTTCCAGCTGCCAGCCAGCTGTGCCCCCCGCCCCCAACATTAGTGCCAAGGTCGAGTTGGGAGGTCTTGGATGTGGGATCCGGATCTCGGCAGGGAAGGGACAGTAAGGGAGGGTACAGCCCAGGCTGCGGGGCTCGGGCTGGGTCGTGGGGTCCAGGTTCCGCTCCCCATCTTACTCCGCCCTCACCCTAAATCCCAGCATCCCGGGATCACCCACCGCGCCCGCCGGCCCGCTCCTGGCTGTTCTACACCCCACCGCGCCCCACCCCACCCTCAGTCCCGGGAGACCGGAAAACCCGGGGTGGATTAAAAATTGGAGTTTGAGAAGGGAAAGGGACAGCAGCACTCTCTCTTTCCTCGCTACTCCTTTCTAATGGAGGGTGACTATGTTTTTTCACTCTTTCAAAGCCTTCCTTTACAGTCCCTTTCCTGGTCTCCAAAAACAGGCCAACAGGGATAGGTGGGCCGGGATTGAAACCGCCTCAGAATAACACCAGCCTTCCCTATTTCATCCTTTGTACCCAACTAACTTGGGAGACTCCCCTCAGAAACCTTTCCCCCTCCTCCATACAGTTTTGTGCCTAAAAGAGGAGGGCAGATCGTTCATACTCCCTTCTGGCCCCACCGGCCTCTCTGTGGGCTGTGGCGAGTGCTCCCTCTGCTGTACACTAGGGAGATTGTACACGGCTGTCCCTGGGCAGGGGCAAGTGAAGGAAAGGGAAAGGAGCCCAGTGCTTGAAGTCAGAACCACCGGATGAGTTTCTCCCATCTCACTCCTCAAAGCCAGCATGGTTAGAGGAAGAAATAGAAGGTCTATGGCACTGAAATCATTTGAAACTTATATAGGCACAATTTGTCCATAACACCTCCCTCTCCCCTAACACACACACATACACACCCCACCCAGGAAAACTCCTGCCCAGTTTCCCAAAAGATTCCCAAGACTACAAGACTAGACCACCTCTGCCTCTTTGTGGCGTTTCTCCTTACCTACTCCTTGGCTGAGTGATGCTCTCTGTTCAACCTGATTTCTATGGCAGGTGTCTTAGAGGGGTTGGGAGCACAGGGGAGGAAGTTCTGCTCAGGGTTCTGTGCCTGAGATTGTCATCTGACCTTCCCTATTTCCCTCCACCTTTGTAACTTGCAGATCTACCTTCCCCTTCTTCAGTGTCCCCACACCCTCCTTTGAGACAACATGTTCAACTCGATGACCCCACCACCAGTCAGTAGCTATGGCGAGCCCTGCTGTGTCCGGCCCCTCCCCAGTCAGGGAGCCCCCAGCATGGGGACAGAAGGTCAGTGTGTATATCAGTCGCTGGGCCCTGAGAACTTGGCACATCTCTCTCCCAGCTCCACCCTGTGCCAGTTTCCCATCTGCAAGAGGATTTGAGGCCCCCTATCATATGGGCTTGGAATCTGGGATCAGGTCTTGCCTGGGGTTATAAGGTGAGGCCTATGTGTCCTCTGTACTCATCCCCCATTCTAGCTGTCTCTCTTTTCTAGGACTGTCTGGTCTGCCCTTCTGCCACCAAGCCAACCTCATGTCCGGCCCCCACAGTTATGGGCCAGCCAGAGAGACCAACAGCTGCACTGAGGGTGAGGCCTCAAGCAACGCCTCTTCCTTCTCTGCCCCTCTGGAACTTGTTGTGAAGGAGACAGTGGGAGGGCTGGGGATCTAACTTGGAGGAGGAAATGCTTAGAGATGTGAGGGGTCAGAGCACCATCAAGATCAAGAGGTCACACATGGGATTAGCTGGGCAAAGCAAAGTTAAGTTTATCATTTTTTCTTTGCCAGGACTCGGAACCCACAAGTTGGGTGCATGGAAAGAAATACCCCTTTACCATATCTATCTACCCTGTCTCCTGCCCCAGGCCCACTCTTTCCCCCTCCCCGGAGTGGAGTCAAGTTAACCAAGAAGCGGGCACTTTCCATTTCACCTCTGTCGGATGCCAGCCTGGACCTGCAGACAGTTATTCGCACCTCGCCCAGCTCCCTTGTGGCTTTCATCAACTCACGCTGCACGTCTCCAGGAGGCTCTTATGGCCATCTCTCCATTGGCACCATGAGGTGCAGGCAGCCCCAGCTAAGAGGCCCCTGAAACCCCTACCAAAACCCATTAGAAGCCTCCAGCCCTTCAAACCACCTGGCCCAATTTGAATCCTTATCATTTAAAAGGCATTGAAACCCTCCTCAATACTTCCCTGGGACTGCCTCAACCACTTTAAATACCAGGTCTTCCAGAAACCTTCCAAGACCATTGGAGGCCTTTTGATATCTTAAGTAACTGCCTCCTCTCCTTCTCCTCAGCCCATCTCTGGGATTCCCACCCCAGATGAATCACCAAAAAGGGACCTCACCTTCCTTCGGGATCCAACCCTGTGGTCCCCATGACTCTGCCCGGAGTGGGATGATGCCTCATCCTCAGACCCGGGGACCCCTCCCAACTTGCCAGGTGAGAGTCTCTATGCTGCTGATTTCCCTCAGCTCAGGGTGGGTGGGTGGTAGACTTTGTAGGGGAAAGGAAGGACAGGGATATAAAAATTCTGGTACCAGAAAAGTAGAGGGGTGGGTGCTGGGTTCACTCCCTGGGTTGAATCAGATGCTACCAAATGGGATCCCACCTTTTGCTCATCTCATTCACCAGTCTGAGGAGGAAGTCCCTTCCAAACCCAGGGATTCCAGCTGCTTCAGTGGGCACTTAGGGCAGGAACACCTGGCTCAGCTCCCACTTCCCTCTGCCCACTTCTACCCTTATAACCCTCACCTCTTTCCCTGGGGAAGCTGAAGTCTGAGCTGGACATGCTGGTTGGCAAGTGCCCGGAGGAGCCCTTGGAAGGCGATATGTCCAGCCCCAACTCCACTGGCACACAGGTAAGGGGATGGGTGGGGGCTTTACCTTTGGGACCTGAGCAAAACAAAAACTGTCACCCAAGTGACTCTAAGATTGCCCCTCCTGCCCTAGGATCCCCTGTTGGGGATGCTGGATGGGCGAGAGGATCTCGAGAGAGAGGAGAAGCCTGAGCCTGAATCTGTGTATGAGACTGACTGCCGCTGGGATGGATGCAGCCAGGAATTTGACTCCCAGGAGCAGCTGGTGCACGTGAGCCCTAGGGAATGGCTAGCTGGAGCCTGTAGGAGATTCTGAGTGGGAAATTGTGGAATCTGGCTCAGGGCAGGTCAGAGGAACCTGAGGTTGAATGCTCAGTAGAGTAGGCAGAATGAGCTGTAGTTTGCCTTAGAGAGCTGGAAGAATTGAGATGTGGGATATGATGTTCTTCCTGCCTCTTCTTCCTCCATGAGGTGGGCCATGGAGGAGGACTAGGGGGTTGAGGGGAGGTCTGTTCTGGGTCTCTGGGGCACAGGGGAGCCCTTGGAGAGCCTCTGCATCTTCTCCCTCAGCACATCAACAGTGAGCACATCCATGGGGAGCGGAAGGAGTTTGTGTGCCATTGGGGGGGCTGCTCCAGGGAGCTGAGGCCCTTCAAAGCCCAGTACATGCTGGTGGTGCACATGCGCAGACACACAGGCGAGAAACCACACAAGTGCACGGTAAGGCACCCACTTCCCAAGCCCACAGTCTCTCCCTAAGTAGGGACTCCCCATCAAGGTAGGGCACAGCAGAATTTTGCCTCTGTAGGTCCCTTCCTCCATAAACAATTATATTTTTATGGCTGTGTTAGCATAAAGATGAACATACTGGTATATATTAAAACATTTTCTTAGACAGAAAAGCTCACTTTCCCCCCTTGATTTTTTTTTTTTTTTTTTACAGAGTCTCGCTTTGTTGGCCAGGCTAGAGTGAGTGCCGTGGCGTCAGCCTAGCTCATAGCAACCTCAAACTCCTGGGCTCAAGCAATCCTGCTGCCTCAGCCTCCCGAGTAGCTGGGACTACAGGCATTCGCCACCATGCCCGGCTAATTTTTTGTATATATATTTTTAGTTGGCCAATTAATTTCTTTCTATTTATAGTAGAGACGGGGTCTCGCTCTTGCTCAGGCTGGTTTCGAACTCCTGACCTCGAGCAATCCGCCCGCCTCGGCCTCCCAGAGAGCTAGGATTACAGGCGTGAGCCACCGCGCCCGGCCTCCCCCCTTGATTTTAAAAGTAATTAAAACATGTTTGTGGGCCCCTTAAAATATTATGAACTGTTGGGCAGGTGCAGTGGCTCACGCCTGTAATCCTAGCACTCTGGGGGGCCGAGGTGGAAGGATCTCTTGAGCTCAGGAGTTTCAGACCAGTCTGAGCAAAAGCAAGAATGTGTCTCTACTAAAAATACAAAAATTAGCTGGGCATGGTGGCATGTGCCCACAGTCCCAACTACTTGGAGGTTGAGGCAAGAGGATCACTTGAGCCCAGGAATTTGAGGTTCCAATGAGCTATGATGATGCCACTGGACTCCAACCATGGTGACAGATCGAGACTCTGTCCCCCCCAAAATGTATTAATATTATGAGCCCTCAGTACTGTGCCTACTACTCTGCCTAATAGGTAAGCCCTACACCAAGGACATAAGACATCTTCATAAGCCTGTTCCCTGGGAAGACCCCATCCTAGGACAGTCTAAGATTCCCATACAGGGAGATCTGCTGTAGCTTGATGAGGAGATGCTTTTTGCCTAATCTCCATGTCTCCAAAGGCAGAGTGCCTCCAGCTCCTTCCCCTCCCTCAACTCTTGCCTGCCCTTATCCATTAATTTTTGGAATTCTCCTGAAGCCCCAATGCCCTCCCGTCTTGAGTTATATTCTCTGATGTATGTCCCTGTGAAGATTTAAGTTTCCTTTAATCTCCGCATCCTTCTATCTGAGAGCTGTCCTTTGACCCCTACACGTCCTCCAGTTTGAAGGGTGCCGGAAGTCATACTCACGCCTTGAAAACCTGAAGACGCACCTGCGGTCACACACGGGTGAGAAGCCATACATGTGTGAGCACGAGGGCTGCAGTAAAGCCTTCAGCAATGCCAGTGACAGAGCCAAGCACCAGAATCGGACCCACTCCAATGAGGTGAATGCCCCAACTAAGAGACCCTCCCCACTTGAGAAGCCACCTGCCCGGGAGATTACCCCATAAGAACTCCCTTAGCCCAGCACCCACTCCACAGAGGTGAGTTCCCCTTTCCCATATAATTCACCCAGAGAAGGCCCTCCTGGAACCAAGAATTTCCACTCACCACTCCTCCTCCTACCTCTAACCAGCCAAAGAGCTAACCTAAAATAGACCTAGTCTGGAGGAGACTCCTGACCCCCCCAATCCCTGAATCTATGGAGCCTCACAGCCCTGGGTTCACCTCCTCATTTTTCCCAGGCCTAGGCTGTCAATTTTCCTACTCCTCTCCTAATCCCTCTCTCTATCTTTTACTCCCTCCCATGGGCCCCCACCTTCCTTCCTTCCTTGAGCAGTGTGTGTTCCTCCCTTACCCCCCTCGTCCCCAGCGCTCTTTCCCATTCCTTCTGCATTCTCTGCTTTGATTGCTTTGCTTTCTGTCTTCCCTCTCTGCTCAACAGAAGCCATATGTGTGTAAGCTCCCTGGCTGCACCAAACGCTACACAGATCCCAGCTCGCTCCGAAAACATGTCAAGACAGTACATGGTCCTGATGCTCATGTGACCAAGCGGCACCGTGGGGATGGCCCTCTGCCCCGGGTACAGTCCCTTTCCACAGTGGAGCCCAAGAGGGAGCTGGAAGGAGGCCCCATCAGGGAGGAGAGCAGATTGGCCGTGCCGGAGGGTGTCGTGGTGAGATAGCCCGGACAACCCCCTGCCTCCATACCCAGCCTGCCTTGCAGACATCTTTCTAGTTCCTTCCCAACCCATCCATCTCCTTCTACGTTAAGCACTCTTTTGTAGCCAGTCTTCCTATCTCTCATCCTAGTGTTGTTCCTTGGGCTACTCAAAATCTAGGGATTTTAGTGCCATTAATTATTTAATAGGTTCAACAAACTCTTTCTTAAATATTAAATAGCACTTAAAATATTGTTCCAAGCCTTTTACATGCATGATTTCATGTACTCCTCACAACAACCTCATGAGAAAATGACTCATTCTTCCTATTTTCAGATGAGGAAACTCAGGCATAGAGAAATTGCTCAAGGTCATAGAACTAAGAGCAAGAATTTGAGCCCAGTCTGTGCTCTAACCTTGGCCCTTCTCATTAACATCTCTCTTCCAGTTTGCCCCCCCCCACCTGCTCAGCCCTCTCTATGCTTATAAGCCTCCCCTTGGCCCCAGCAGTCACTAGGACTGTGGCTTCAGCCACTCCCCAGGTGGAGGGAGCTGTGGGGAAAGGGTGCTGCCCTCAGCCCTCATCTTCTCCACAGAAGCCACAGCCAAGCCCTGGGGCCCAGTCGTCTTGCAGCAGTGACCACTCCCCGGCAGGCAGCGCAGCCAACACAGACAGTGGTGTAGAAATGACTGGCAATGCAGGGGGCAGCACTGAGGACCTGTCCAGCTTGGACGAGGGGCCTTGCATTGCCGGCACTGGTCTGTCTACACTTCACCGCCTTGAGAACCTCAGGCTGGACCAGCTGCATCAACTTCGGCCAATAGGGACCCGGGGTCTCAAACTGCCCAGCTTGTCCCACACTGGTGAGACCTGGGTGTGGGAGGTGTTGCTGGGGTGAGATATGGACCTGCCCTGAGGTTGGGTGGAGGAGGTCACCCTTCAGGGCTGCCATATGGCACCTTTGTACAATTAAAATAGGTCCCTCTTCCTCAAGACACTTTCCATTGTGTCTTGTGTTATACAAGTATACAAAGTCTGTGATGTGAAAGCTAGTCCCTAGGGTTGTGCAGCATACAACCTGTGTGACTGCTCACTGCTGTTCTGGTAACCAGAAGTGGAATAGGCATGGGAGAAGTTTCAAGACAGAACCAAGTGGTTGGGGATAAAAAACTTATGTCTGTCACATGGGGAAGGCAGGGTGAGATTCAGGGGGCTCCCTAACCACCCTGCCTTTTCTCCTTTTCTCCCTGTCACTTGCAGGCACCCCTGTATCCCGCCGTCTGGGCCCCCCAGTGTCCCTTGACCGCCGCAGCAGCAGCTCCAGCAGCATCAGTTCTGCTTATACTGTCAGCCGCCGCTCCTCCCTGGCCTCTCCTTTTCCCCCAGGCTCCCCACCAGAGAATGGCGCACCCTCCTTGCCTGGCCTCGCACCTGCCCAGCACTACCTGCTCCGGGCAAGATATGCCTCAGCCAGAGGGGGTGGTACCCCACCCACTGTAGCACCCAGCCTGGATCAGATGGGGGGTCTTCCTGCACCTCCTTGGAGAAGCCGAGCTGAATATCCAGGATACAACCCCAATGCAGGGGTCACCCGGAGGGCCAGTGACCCAGCCCGGGCTGCTGACCGCCCTGCTCCAGCCAGAGTCCAGCGGTTCAAGAGCCTAGGCTGTGTTCACACTTCCCTGACTGCGGCAGGCGGAGGAAGGAACCTTGATCCCCACCTCCCAACCTCTGTCTATTCACCACAGCCCCCCAGTATCACTGAGAATGTTGCCATGGACACTAGAGGGCTACGGGAGGAGCCAGAGGTTGGGACCTCCATGATGGGCAGTGGTCTGAACCCCTATATGGACTTTCCACCTGCTGATACTCTGGGATATGGGGGACTTGAGGAGGCAGCAGCTGAACCTTATGGAGCTAGGGGTCCAGGCTCCCTGCCTCTTGGGCCTGGTCCACCCACCAACTACAGTCCCAACCCCTGTCCCCAGCAGATCTCATATCCTGATGCCACACCAGAAACATGGGGTGAGTTCCCTTCCCACTCTGGGCTGTACCCAGGCCCCAAGGCTCCAGGTGGAGCCTATAGCCAGTGTCCTCGACTTGAACATTATGGACAAGTGCAGGTCAAGCCGGAACAGGGGTGCCCAGTGGGGTCTGACTCGACAGGACTGGCAGCCTGCCTCAATGCCCACCCCAATGAGGGGCCTCCACGCCCACAGCCTCTGTTCTCCCACTACCCCCAGCCCCCTCCTACCCAATATCCCCAGCCAGGCCCCTATACCCAGCCACCCCCTGATTATCTTCCTTCAGAGCCCAGGCCTGGCCTGGATTTTGATTCCCCCGCTCATTCCACAGGACAGCTCAAGGCTCAGCGTGTGTGTAATTACGTCCAGTCTCAACAGGAGCTGCTGTGGGAGGCTGGGGGCAGGGGAGATGCTCCAGTCCAGGAACCTCCCTACCAGAGTCCCAAATTCCTGGGGGGTTCCCAGGTTAGCCCAAACCCAAACCCTGCTAAAGCCCCAGTGACCACATATGGACCTGGCTTTGCACCCAACTTACCCAATCACAAGTCAGGCTCCTATCCCACCCCTTCACCATGCCATGAAAATTTTGTGGTGGGGGCAAACAGGGCTTCCCACAGGGCAGCAGCACCACCCCGACTTCTGCCCCCACTGCCCACTTGCTATGGGCCCCTCAAGGTGGGGGGCACCAACCCCAGCTGTGGCCATCCTGAGGTGGGCAGGCTAGGAGGGGGTCCTGCCTTGTACCCACCTCCCGAAGGGCAGGTATGTAACCCTCTGGACTCTCTTGATCTTGATAACACTCAGCTGGACTTTGTGGCTATTCTGGATGAGGCCCAGGGGCTGAGTCCTCCCCATTCCCATGATCAGGGGGGCAGCTCTGAACACACCCCACCTCTCTCAGGGCCCCCCAACATGGCTGTGGGCAACATGAGTGTTTTACTGAGATCCCTGCCTGGGGAGACACAATTCCTCAACTCTAGTGCCTAAAGAGTGGGGAACCTTATCCATTGCAGATCTGATTTTCCTAAGGGGCTTCCATCCCTCCAGGGAATCAGGGGGAGAAGCTGCAGCCCCCTGCACAAGATGCCCCAGGGATGGGAGGTTGGACTGGTGGCTGTATATAGTCTGTACATGTTTTGAGGATGAATTTGATCATGACACTGTTTCCTATTAATAAAGGAACTGCATCAGAAATAATGCTGCTTTACATAGTACTCTCTTGGGGAAGAGTGATAATAGTGAATAAAAAGAGAAGTAGGGGTTAATCCACTTGCTTTCCTCTTTAGAGAAGCTCTCTCACCCCATTCCAAGCCCTCAGGACAGACTCACAAAGATAGAGACAGTCATCTAGGAGACACAGGATTTAAGGGGATGCCCTCAAAACAGAACACATCACCACCAATGGAGATCATTAGAAATGCATGTTCTCTTCTTCCTTGCCCATATCAAGGGAAGAGGCTGGTGAAGTTGCTGAGCATCAGCTGGACTAGCTGCCCGGGGTAGAGGGCATGGGCTGCTGGGTCTGCTGTCTCCTGCTCTGGCCGAAACAGGGTTGGTCCAAACACAATTCCCAGGTTGTGGGGAGTCATGCGATTCTTATCTGAGTGTGCTATCACCCTGTGGGCAAAAGCCAAGGGAAAGGGACATAAGGCAGCAGCTTGCCACTTCGAATCAATCTAACCCTTCAAAGGTTTGAGTGGGGAGTTGTTCACTCTGGCATCCCTCCATGTGGTGACTGAAAGAAACCAAGAACAGAGCCTAGGAGGACTGGAGATGGACCAGTGGAGAAACCTTCAGGATACAACCTGAAGATACAGCTAGGATACAACTGCCTCTATACAGCTTCAGAGGACTTTCCCAAGAGTCCTGTCTTTTCACAGTTTGGGAGGCTTTAATTTACATGGCCATGCCCTCTCAGCAGTCACTGCCCAGGCCCTGCCCAGCTAAACAAGCCATCACCGCTGCTCCAGTGGGATGAGGGAAAGAGGCAGAGGGAAGGGAGAGGTAAGATTTCCCTTATTTCTCTCAAAACATCCATGGGCTTGTCTTGGTTCCATTTTCCCATCTGATGTTGACCTATCCAAAGGCTCTGATCCAGAACATGCCTTCTGCACAGAGGTTACCTGTCTCAACTGCCCACTAAATTTAGGTGCTTTCCTTTCCTTTACTCCCCCTAAACAGAGTCCCTGCCCCATGCCCACCTCATCCTCCCCCAACAGCACAATGATGCTCAGTCTTCCTGACCTGCATAAATGCTCCAGGAGGTACCGCAGAGTGTCACAGTTGGCCTTTGGCATGGAGCCTATCAATTCTTGTATCTGAGAGAGGCACTGTTCTGATTCGGAGAGTGCTAGAGAGAGAGAGAGAGTGATGGGAAAGGCATGGGAGTGAGGTTAGGGAAGGTGCTAGGACAGGGTGGGTAAATTCACTATGCTTTCCCAAACTCATGGAAGACATCATTAATCTATTACAGCTTTCTTTTACACATAGCCCAGCTGTAGCCTCAGAATTCTTTTCAACTCTCTGAACATTCACAAAAAATGAGTTGGCACATGAGTTGAAAGTTATTTTCCATCTCTGTGGTCAGGATGGGACAGGAGAGTGTAAGGGAACCTCTATTCTATTCTTTACCACTTGTGTCCCCCTATCAAGGATGCTGCCCAAGCCTCCCAACTCTTACCAAGGGCAGCACGAAAATGGGGCAGGAGCAGTGGGGGCACCAGAGGCTGGGGCAGCTCGCGGAGAAAAAGTTTCAGGGCTCCAGTGACCACATGAATGTCATCCCACTCAGCACTGTCCAAATCTAACCGGCCTTCTGGAGGGAGAAAGAGGTAGAGGGAGATTCAGGACTCATGAGGGCCAGAGACTGAGAGATCAGGGGTTCTGGAGAAATCCAGTCAAGGCAGACCATAGGAATGCCTGGAGTGTTCACAGTGGGGCAAGACAGCAAAGATGAGGATGGGGACAACCCTCCCAGGAGCGGGACATGGGGGAATCCATGGGGAGCAAGGAAGGCATGGGGAAGACTTAGGGGTCTGAGGGGCTTTCCATGTAAGTACCTTGTCCTGGCTGCTCTGGGAACACGTACCTCCCATCAGAGGTGACTGCCCGCTCTACAACATGTATGAGGAGAGACCAGGAGCTAAGACATGCAGTTCTAGCCAGAAGGCCTCCCCGTTCTGCCCGCTTCCTCACTCACCACCCCCCCATGGTTCCGAGGCACGCAGTTCTTAGTACTACTACTTGCCCACAAGCCTTCTCACCTCTGTCCACCAGAAAGCGAAGTTTCTGGACCACTGCCAAGTTCCCACTCACCCGGTAAATGCCATCCACATCTAGACCTAAGAGATGAGGCAGGGAGAAGATAAGAACTGCTGTTCTAAAGTGAGTGTGGGCCGGGCTCAGTGGCTCATGCCTGTAATCCTAGCACTCTGGGAGGCCAAGGCAGGTGGATCGCTCAAGGTCAGTAGTTCGAAACCAGACTGAGCAAGAGCAAGACCCCGTCTCTACTATAAATAGAAAGAAATTAATTGGCCAATTAATATATAGAGAAAAAATCAGCCAGTCATGGTGGCACATGCCTGTAGTCCCAGCTATGTGGGAGGCTGAGGCAGGAGGATTGCTTGAGCCCAGGAGTTTGAGGTTGCTGTGAGTTAGGCTGACGCCACGGCACTCACTCTAGCCTGGGCCACAAAGCGAGACTCTTTCTCAAAAAAAATAAAAAATAAAATAAATAAATAAAGTAAGTGTGGTGAGGCATTGGAGAGTGGAGAGAAAAAAAGCAGTAGGAAGAGTAGGATGGGGGAGGTGAAGATTCTAGGCCGTGGCCTGTTAGAAGGGGATTCTGGGGTCTCTGGGAAAATGACCTCTTTTATCCACAGCAGCAATGCAGAGCCTCACAAAGCTGGGCACCGTGTCCCCTTCCCGCTGGCACAGTGATTCCAACTGGCAGCCGAACACCTGGTCTGGGAAGGCACAGAGTGAGGTGTGAAGCCAGTGCCAGGGTCACCAATAGAAGCTCTTCTCAGCAACGTCTTCACCCCCAATTAGGGCTAGCCCTTCTGCCTACCTGTGCCAGGCGTGGGGAATGGGGAAAGAGCCATACCCCACCCCCAAAAGAATCTGGCAAGGAGGTACACCTCTCCCCAACCCTCTCCCAGACAATCTGGAGTTCTGGGAAAAGCAGTGGTCTCACAAGGCTGTGATCTATTAATATTTCTGGGAAGCTCTATTCTGAACTTTGTTGCAGTTTTCTCATCCATGAAATGGGCTAATGCCCACACTAGGATGTAAACGTTCTTGCAAAAACACTAGAGCAGGCACAAAGGAGCAGGCCCCAGCTGGCACAGCCCACCTCACCTCGGAGCAGACCCCGCTCCTGCAGGCTTTGCAAGGGCGGTCTCTTCGCAATAAGCCGCTTTAGTTTGTTCCGCACACGGTTCTGCTCAGTGCCTTCCGGACCCCGACCTGTACGAGGCAGGTAGAGTCAAAGTGGGAGAGGGCCGGTGGGCTCCCGCCATGCGCTGCAGGCCCAGCTCCCACGACCCGCCCCTTACTGGAGCTCCGGCGGCTGCTAAGGCGCAGCAGCGGCTTGGACACCGGTTCCGACTCCTCTTCTTCATCCTCCCCTGCGCTCAGCTCCCCCAGCTCCGCAGGTCCGGAGCCTGACAGACGCAGCTCCAGGGGGTTCTCCCGATCCTAGACCCGGGGGAGGGGCAGGGGCGGGGAGGAGTGGCGGAGGCCGTGTTGGAAGTTGGAAGAGAGAGGAGAGAAATCTGCACCCCTAGCTGGACGCAAGGAGACCCCAACCAGCTGCTGGGGTTCCACGTCTTAGCCCCATCCCAGGCCAGGGCTCTACGCTGGGACCACCCCGCCCCCCACCGCCCTCTGACTCCTATTGCTCCTACCGCACTCCCCTGGCAAGTCCCCCGCTCGAGCCTCTCCCAGGTCTCCCACCCATCTAACCAGCCGTTCGATGACCGCCCGCAGTGCGCGATGCCAGGCTCGCAGCTCGGTCTCGTGGTCCGACTGCAGCAGGAACTCGTGGCCAGGGACCGTGCGGATCTGAGGGGCCAACCGAGAAAGGCTTGGGTCAGCAGGGAGGAGCATAGAAAGCAGGGGGGCCAAGCGGGAGATCCCTCCGGTCAGCAGGGGGCTTTGGAGACGCCCACGAGGGCACTCACGTGCAGGACATTGCGGCGGCTTGACAGGTGGCGGCCGTGCGCCAGGGCCGCCCCTCGCAGGTCCACGCTACTTTCTGGCCGGCTACCCGCTGGCCCCTGGCATTAGGGGAGAAACTGAGGCCATGATGTTGTTTGCCTCACTGCTTCCCTCTCACCCAGTGGGCTGCGAGGAGGTGGGAGGCTTCCTCCCTCGTCTACCTTCCTCTACACCGCCCTCCCTACCTCCACCCACTCCCTCCTCCCCCGCCCCCCCCTGAAGCGGAAAGAGCCCCTCTGGCAGCCCCCACCCCCACTCACCCAGCCTGAGGAGGGTGCAGCCGCCGGTGGATCTCTGTAGAACACGAGGCTGTTACCCGCTAACACAACCCAAGATGGGCCCCAGTTCTTCCTGCAGGGACGGAGGGGGAACAGCAGTGGTAGTGAAAAGGTCATTCTAGAATCACATGGGGAGGGCTCTCTCCCTACCACGGGGAATCTAACAGCCCAGAACGCTGGTACATTCCAGGATCTCCTCACCTGAGCTTGCGCCCCCCTTGGGCAATCTTGGTCATGTTGAGTAGGCCGGACTTTTCTACCTCCTGGGAAGTAGAGGGAGTAGCAGCATCTGTAAGTCACCCTATGCCCTCCACAGTGGCCCCGGCTTTCCCTAAAGAGTTTCCCAGGAGTGAGGTCCCTTAAAGTTGGGGGAAGAGGACTGGGTAAGAAAGAATACCCAGAAAGAGGAAGATGTTTTTGAGGAGCAGGAATTGGGGGGTGGGGCAGGGAGGATCTTGGCATTCACAAGGAAATGGGAGATTCACATGGGGGTCGTCTAGGAGCTGCGGCAGAGGTCTAGGCGTCTGCAAGGCTGGACGCTGGTCTGAAGGGTCAAGCTGGGAGGTGCGTCGGCGGAAGCCTGGTGAACTCTAGAAAGGGATTGGAGAAGCAGGTGGAGGAACCTTTAACTTAAAGGTCCCTGGCTGTAAGAGGAAGAGGGGTGCAGATGTGGGTGAGAGGCAGCGGGTGTGGTGG